TTATCTTACATCATAGAGAGGGATGGTGGTGTTGAGAGAGTGTGCAGCTAGAGCAATGATAGCTGCAGTGACACCACTACCACATGTGGCAACCACTGGTTGGGTTAAGTCCACTTCTGACCTCTGGAACTCTAAAGAGAGATAGAGAGAGGGAGAGTGAGAGGGGGGGGGCTATCATTTTGCCTACATTGATATCAACTGTAATCTTGCAAGCCATACCAGGCATTCAGCTTTTTATTGTTAGTACAGGGCACTTGGCATTTTTACCAAATAGCTATATATCCTAGACTTGCATAGCTTCATCTACAACCAAAGTTCCTAATATTTTACTGGTCCACGTAGTCGAAGGCATGGGGCACCAACTTTTAAGAGGTTTCTTTACCAATGCTATGCTTTGCTGGTGCTTCTTCGCTTTTCGGAGGGTCTGTTATAAGAAGTTCCACTGTAGGTAGCATGACTATATATGTTGACTAATTAACTGTACAAAGGTATGCAGGTTTTCTAGCACAATTTGTGGTTAAAGATTTGAGAATGTGACAATGTACAGTAGAGACCTGAGGCCAGAAGGCTCCTGGTCTTGACAGTACCCCACTGAGCATCCAGTAGTCTGCTGTAGTGGAGGTTGACTGCTCCCTTCATCCCTCCACTGGGCAGAGAGGGGCGGGGCTCCGGGACATCACCTTTGAACCTGGCACTGCTACGTGCATCTACAACCTGAGACCAAAGTATACCACAGAGTGTACCACTGAAAGAGTATTGGATCAACTTACACACATCAAACTGCTATACCAAAAATAAAGATTTCCCATAGACTATCATAACACCATAATATTATTATTATAAAATCAGTGAAATGTGTCCGTCATTCAGAGGCCTTTATGTAGGCAGGGTAGCTCTAATGCACTAATATAGCCAGAACCAAGTGCCCTTTAAGAGGGTCCTCTTTTGTAGTTAGTCAGAGGCAGGGAAAAGAATTTGCTGTGATTATCCCAATCCTACAGAAGTGACCTGTTTGTGACGAGATGTGTGGTTATCCAACATCTGCTCATAATTCCTGAGAAAGTGAGGGTTGAAAGATGCAGTGAAATTAGTGGCCTCTGGTGTGTGGGGTTCCCCTGAGACTGTGGGGAACCAGTGAAATTTCCACCTCCTCAGACCCCCATCCAGCACCGACACTCTCTCGTGACCAAACAACTGTGGACAGAAAAAAATATGACAGCTACTTAATATAAATTTGGGCTTTCTTAAAAGAAATAGTAGCAGAGATCGTGAAGACAGCTTAGAGTGAGTAATCTCAATGTGCACAAACACCATGAACATACACTACTTGCATCGTTTGCTGCTTTATTCTACCACTTTTCTAGTCTCCCTACCTTAGCTCTTGTTTGTACACACACACACACAGTCAGTGCATGCAACATCAATGTATGTCTGCATGATGGGTCGCGCGCAATAGACAACACTTCTAATTTCAAGCAACATGTTGCATGGACCTTACATAGAAGCTAAGTAACAAGGTTGCACAGTGAATGGAGGCCATTAGGAGAGGAGAGAAGGAGAGAGAACTGACTCTGAACATCCACCAGACTCTAGCAGAGGCCATCAGTCCCTCACTGTGTCCATCATACACCACCACATGATCTCCATTACCCACTCCCATCTGGACACATGGAATAGTAGACAGCAATGTCTGTGTCCACCATGACAGCATGCATTAGCTCTCATACTAAATGAACCTAATAATAATCAGTGGCTGTCAGCGCAAGGCAAATGCATTCAGGACAAGGAAGAGTAAAAAAAGTGCCCTCGAAACCACGATAATCTTCTTAGTCTCCCAAGCAAACCTGTCATACAAGGAAAGAGGGTGTGGTTTGTGAGACTAACACTTCTTTAACTGAGTGCTCCACACACCGAGCAATATAGTATGCAATAAACCAGCAGGCATGGCTCATAAAATAAAAGGCACCTCAAATACTCTGTGCTATAGTACAGAAATCCATGTGTCCATTACACAATGCAATGTGAGAGTAGTGTTCCATGAGAGAGTGGCCCCTGACCTTGGCCACGAGGGTCTGGAAGCGGTGAGGGGAAGGGATCATGTGAGGATAGGGAGAACTCTGCTCTGACACCTCGTCAATGTCAAAGTGCTGGGCCCCAGCCAATCTCTCACCCAGGAAGGCCGCCCTCCCCTCTCCCGACATGGTCCACGAGGCTGAACACAAGTGATTGTAGACAGCTTAGCTACATCATAGAGTGTGTAGCATCTCTCACCCACCGTCTAGTATTCTGATGTTCTTCAGTCCATTAACCACCTGCCTCAGCCACGTCGCTGATACAAGTGAGACACCATCTTGCTCTAGTTTAGCGAACCAAGTCTGGAGACTATAATGGACAGGGGATGTAGGAGAACCGTTGTTGAAAATCAGTGCTGAAATATGCGCATGCGTGTATGATCTTACAAGCCCTGCCCGGCCCATAGTCCGTCTGTGTGTGTGCAGATAATAATGGCCGAAGGCCAATGACCTTGATCCTTGATTTACAGTTGATCACCGTAGCTTATCCCAATGTACACAGCACCGACGACGGGTGGCGAGGTCCTGACTCCAAACGATGCCGTCAAAGTACTGGAGGAGCTACTCCCAGCACAGAACCAGTCCTACGAACTGGGACTGAGGCTGAATCTAAAGCCACACGAAGTAAAGAGCATCCACGCAACCGTTTCCGAGCCGCGCAAACGCCTTCTTTATCATTCTGGAGTGTCTGAGCGTGACAATTTCACATTTTTTTCGAACTTTGTTTCACACCTTATTTTCGAATAATAGAACATTATGGCATTTGCAGTGCGCTGTGGCTGTTACAGATAAAATGTAAAAACTGCATTCATACACGACACTCTGCAGTCTAGGTGCCAGTGCTCTAGCTCTAAGTTTTCACTATCTTGTGTCTCTCTTGCATTCAGACTGCTATATAAGTATACAAGCTCGTCTTGCACATTTGCCATGACATCACCCCCTTTCTCCTCCTTCCCTCACTTTAATCATATCCTCACAGCACTTCCCAGGCCAAAGGTCATGACAGTGACGTTCACCTGAAACCAGTCAACTTCTATAGAGACCCTTTCTTCCTGGTCTGCATTGACCTCTATAACTAGTGTCAATGTGTTTGGTGATCAATCTCAGCATCCTAATGTATGAGAAAAGGCACAACATTGATGGTCTCATGCAACGTAAATGTATGGGTATGATGTGTCTGCATGTTTCATGCAATAGACAACACTCCTTTTGTCATGCAACATGTTTCATGGGCTATCATATACCCAGGTATGGCATTGCTTTTTCTAGCATTACTTCATAGGATATATCTCTCTACTGATGTTATTGCTAAGCTATGGACTAGAAATTCTGTGGTTGTTGTGCAGGGTAACAGTATCCTAGTGATGTGTGAGACTTATTCCAAGGACGGGACACCTCACCCTACAAACAAGAGATACTCTTGTGACAGGATAATGGAGAGGTGTGTACTACTGGAGGTCACCATGTTACGTGTTGCAACTTTGTTGCACGCAACTTCAAATGTATGACGTGTGCATGCAACATTCATGTGACGTGTGCATTAGAAATTCTTCGAAATTCATGTGACTTTCCTGCATGGCCTATAATACCCACACATTTTGATGTTGGCTGTGATTGTGACAATGTAGCATCGTGTATTATGGTTTTACGTAACTTAAACCACAAAGAAAGGGGAATGAATAAACAAGCACCACATTCTCCTCATTAGACGTGAACACACAATAAAGTGTATATGACCTCAGTTGGTAGAGCGCTCGCCTAGTGTCGTGGGTTCAAATCCCACCCAGGGCAGCTCTTCCTTTTCCCTTGGAAAAAAAGAGTTGTCCTGGGTGTAGTTGACTTGTTTGCTTTGCCCTTGCCATTCTACGTCTCACCTTTTTGTTGACACGTGGAAGTAAAACACCCACACACTCTCTACCAACTATTTAAACCTCATAGCACCCGGCTGGCCAAAGTCGGGCTACCCTGGACAGCACGGTCCACTACTACTGTGCTGTGGGAGCCACCAAGGTCTTTGGGATACAGGTCTGCCCCACCCCACATTGACATACACACACACAGTGGCTGATCCAGGGGGTTCCTTTCATTCCGCGGAACCCCCCTTTTTGTCGTTTTGCGCGCATGCATCGCCGGCCTTGTGCAGTCGAAAACGTTCTGGACAGCGGAACCCCTCTTTTCAGAATCTTAGATCTGCCACTGACACACACATTGTGATGATATCAACCTGTAGTGGATTATGTGAGCACATTGTAGTCCCAATTAAAAGAGGAGATTGGGAATCACTATGCTAAAGGTAACAGTGTCCAGTTAAAAAGAGGCATTGCTTCATTAAGTCTAATGGTTTACTGTTTTCTGTTGTTTCATGGTCTAGTCTAACCCCTAGCCCTGTTCCCTTATAGCATACTTACTGTGTGTTTAACCAGTGTATCATGTACTGTAAATTGTTTTGTAAGCCATGGTTTATCTGAAGAACCTAAAAAATGCCTTGTGCATTCATGATGGGCCATTTTACACATGTGCCCACGTGACCGTCATGTCTATCACGTGGTGTTTTGTGTCCCACTGTACTCAGATATCAGAGGCCCACTACAAGGCCTGTCTGTACGCAGGGCTGTGTGTGAGTGGCTCCAATGCAGAGGTGATGCCAGCTCAGTGGGAGTACCAGGTTGGACCTTGTCCGGGGACCGCCATGGGAGATGAACTATGGGTCTCCAGGTCTGTACATACTCCAGTGTTATGTATAACTAGAGAGATTTCAAAGGAATTCGTATACCCAGCGTGCCTGATGTGTGTATATACCCTTTCGTGTCTTGATCTTGTCTTGAGGTATGTTTGACAGCTCAAAATGTACACCCTAGTTGTGAGGAAGGCCTGGGAACAAGGGTTCACCCTTGCCTTGTAGTGTGCTGTAGACTTTGTGCTCAGTTGTCAAAGTCCCACACAAGGCAGCTTTTAAACTTTGTGTTGCTTGCTTCACAGACTATCTGTAGATTTATGTGCAAACCTCACATACCTTTATTGTTTCAGCCCCAACTTCTTGTTAAGGATAAACACTGTCACCACAAAAATATCAAATAGATCTCATTCATTCACTGTATGTGGCTGCAGGTACATCTTGCACCGTGTGGCGGAGGATTTCGGAGTGATAGTGACACTGGACCCCAAACCCATGCCGGGAGACTGGAACGGGGCTGGAGGCCACTGCAACTTCAGCACCTCCAGAATGAAGGCTGAGAATGGCATGAAGGTATGTCCATACCACCTCTCTCATCTCATTAGCTTTGTCACTGGGACTGTACTTAACTTTAGGTACTTCCAAGGCTCTGTTATTATGTCACATTGTAGGACACATTTTGCTTTGGCTATGCTTTTCAAGATTCAAAGGTTTGGACAAGTAGCACTAGGGCCATAGCCCACATGCACACACATACAGTACTGGGCAGAGCCAACAATGAGATGTGTCTGTTTGTATGTACCTCCTAGACATCAGCATTTCCTCCCATTCCCGGACGATATGCACAGTACCCATAGCAATAGGAGACAAGAATGTAATTGTGTGTGTGCTGCAGGTGATGGAGGAGGCCATTCAGAGACTGGAGAAGAGACACAAGGAACACATCATACTCTATGACCCCAGTGGAGTGAGTGGAGGGGAGAGAGGGAGGGGGCGATGAGAGTAAGGAAGGGAAGTTTGGTGATAATCAGGCACTTTTATCACTTCATCACTCGCTAACAGTAGTCTGCATTATACTGTACGAATGGCAAGTGCATGGAGCCTGGGTTTATGGAATGGTGGTGAACAAGTATGTAACCAGTTTTTCAATCATTCCTTCTCTCTCCTATTTTCCTCTCCCTCCCCTCTTCCTCTCCGACCCAGGGAGTAGACAACAGTCGTAGACTGACAGGTCTTCACGAGACAGCTCACATTGACCAGTTCTTCTGGGGAGTGGCCCACAGAGGAGCCTCCATCAGAATACCTCGTGGAGTCGCTCAAGGTTGACATAATTATGACATCATACATATTAGCATAGGACCATTATCCACTTGACTAGAATACGTTGGAGTCTCTCTTGTAGCATTTGACCACTACAATGAAAGTGTGTTCTAAGAGAGCTCTTTGTTTACAGTGGGTGTTGTTTAGAGTCACGTACTTTACTGTGGTACATACAAGTTTCTGCACATGTGTGATGTATTATCTAGTAGGCATTGGTATGATAGTGACAATATCAACTTTCTCTCCTCTCCCACATGACGTGTGTGTGTGTGCAGCTGGTCGAGGCTACCTTGAGGACAGAAGGCCGTCCAGTAATGGCGATCCCTACCTGGTGTGTGAGGCTCTGGTCCGTACTGCAGTCCTGGATGACTGGACTGACTTTGACTGGACTAACATGCCCTCTAAACCTTGACTGACTTTGTCTCTAATAGCTACCACTGATTGTGCACCAACTGAAATCTCTGGTTTACTTTTTTCAAAATTAGTTTTGTCTGCGTTCGCATCGTTGCAGTGGCAAAATAGCACAGTGATGAGAGTATGTTGCCAACTTATTGACGGCTTTTTAAACCATTATGTTTCTGCAGCACTCAGCACTGTTTAGGTTGTTGGATAAATCGCTCGGTAGATAGCTACAGCTAAACAGTCTCATACATATAAGCTAGCACAGTCGCTCAAAGATATAGCTAATTGTACAGCTAAATCGTCGGGTAGATATACAGATCGCCGGGTAGTTTTGTCGTTGCCAGATCGCGCAGTCGAGCTGACCTTAGTGATACGCATGTAGCTAGCTAACTACCTGGCGATTTAGCCTAGCTATCGGACGATTTAGAGATCTATCCAACAATTTATGCGAAAAAGAGGTAATAATTATGATGAAGCTACTAAAATTAATAGCGAAAAATGATATGGCGCCCCAGGGCCATAACTGCTTGCGCGGTTCAATACGCGCCTAGCGTAGTGCCACGCCCGTTTTTTTCACTCTCGCGCAGGTCCCTGGTCGCCGACTGGCTCGACGACGCAGTAACAGTCAGTGAGCCTAGTCTTGCGAGCGGCTAACGTTTGTATATTATGTTGAAGTGGTGGCGCAAGGGGGGTGCTGGAGCACCCAAAGCACCCATCCTGTCTACGCCACTGGTAATGGCTGAAGGTAAAGGCTAGAGTGAGTGGCCTTGATCGCTCATAAAAGCTTATCCCAATGTACACAGCGCCGACGACAGGTGGCGAGGTCCTGACTCCAAACGATGCCGTCAAAGTACTGGAGGAGCTACTACCAGCACAGAACCAGTCCTACGAACTGGGCTTGAGGTTGAATCTAAAGCCACACGAAGTAAAGAGCATCCATGCAACCTTTTCCGACCCGCGCAAACGTCTTCTTCAGATCGTGTTGGAGTTCCTGAACCAAGTAGAGCCCAGACCAACCTGGAGAGTCATTGTAGATGCCCTCAAAAGTCCTGCAGTCAATCTTCCTCAGCTAGCAATGACTGTGGAGGCAGCTCACTTTCCTGCACTACACCACGTCTACTGAGCCGACACGACCTAACCATGTGTGTAGTGTGTTTGAGATTCTCCTCAGTTTCATTTTCCGCCTTATCTGTGCATTAGTCTCCTCTCTCTGTTTGCAGTCTCTTCCTCCCAGAGTCCGGCCACCTCCTCTCAACCAGGCCTCTCCGTCACACTGTCCATGGTAATGACTCAACCTACTTTTGTCCAATTTAGACTTCTCTGTCGGTTCGACATGTAATACCAGTACATATTTCTGCAAGACACAGCTACTGTGTTGAACACTCCATGTTTTCCACAGTTCTGGAGCCTCACCACTCATCTGAAGTGGACTGTCCACCAGACCTGCCGCAACCAAGTGTAGTCCACTACTGTAGCGGTTTAGTCAAGCAAGTTTAGCATGAGCCACCACTCCGGAAATTTGTAATGCTCGATCTCTGCAGTCACCTCACCTGCATCATTCTCATCAGCCAGTTGAAATCACATCGATACTCTCTTACGAGGGTACATATAATTATACGGGATCGGGTCATGAAAATGTCAGCTTACATGTATCTTATTACGACCCTATTAGTCAGTACCCCTATGGCAGCTGCCATTGGACCCAGCAATTGTAAGACAACACCCACTCAATATGTCATATAATAATAGTAGTAATGAATAAACTTTGCAATTTTGTACATTTAAGGAAACATGATCTTGATACAGTGGCCGTTAATATACATTGCGCTCCAAGTATACACATATATCCAAGTATACATATATGTATATAGACACTTCATAAAAAAGTGTCTATTCTTCATCTCCAGCAACTGGTGATACAGTGACTGAACTCCAGCATCGACCAGAGTCACCTCAGCCTAGTACGTATGCTCCACACTTGTCTGGGATATTGCCACTGATCCATAACTCTATGTGACCATGGTCTGTCCAACAGTCCAATGACCACTCAGTATGTCCAGGCCAAGATTAGAAGGTTTGAGAAGAGGTTCAATGACCTGAAGAAGGCTGCCAGGGGTGCCTCGAGAAACTCAAGATTTCTGTCAAGCAAGTCGTTGATGCTCTCACGTCGATGCCTGCTGATGACATTGAGGAACATGAACTGTTTTCTGAAAGACAATCTGAGCGATCTCTGCCAGTCTTTTGATATTTCGGAGCTCATTGGAAAGTTGAGCCTACTGCAGTGGAACTACCTGTCCTACCAGTTGCTGGACTACCTGATAAAGGAGTTTGGTTTGGAGGTGAGGAGGGAGATGGAGGCCTACAAGCTTGATCTGCAGAGGTTCCGCCAGAAGACACCACTAGCTCTGTTCTGCCAGTCTCAGAAGAGGAGGCAAAAGAAGCCTCCAGAAGGTTTCGAAGAGATGGTCGCCGAGTTTGACTGGCCGCACGAAGTGACACTGGAAGTTGTGGAGCAGTTTCGACAAGAGTATGCCTATCACTACAAGCTTCGAGACTGTGCCATGCTGTTGGCTAAAGTACTTCCCGGCTCCTTCATCATCACCTGGTTCATACCAGAGTCCATTGTCAAGAAACTGAGAGAAGACATCCCTCACCTCATCCTCAAGAAGTATACTGTCGTTAGCCTTCAAATTGCAGGAGTCAAGGTTTATCCACCTCCTCAGGTGAGATTGTGTGTTGTATAATAACTCCTTGTTACCTGAGACCTCCATGTCTGTATGGCAGAAGTCAGCAGCAGTCTCATCACCTGGTCCTGGACCTTCAGCTGGTGGTGCCGCTGGTTCTGTTGAGAAATCACCTCCTCAGTATGTTACTATCCCCACTGTTGCATGGTGAACTCCATCATCACCATACCATCCATCCAGACTCAAGACAGAGGAGTCCCGTCTCTCACCAGAAGAGGATTACCCTTTTGTTGAGAAGCCATCAGAGGATTTCTTTTGTCCGGTGATGTTGAGTCTACTGCTCCAGCCTCACCTCACGTCATGCTGTGGTAAACATCTCTCAGAGGAGTCTGCCACCAGAATACAGGGAGAGGGAGGACCATGTCCACTCTGCAAGTCTCCTGACTGGAGTACCGTTCTGGACAAACACGTCCGTCGACAAGTGAAGGAGCTTCATGTGTTCTGTCGTCACAAGGAGAAAGGCTGTTGGTGGAAAAGAGAGTTGTCTGACTTTACACAACATGTCCAGTCTTGCCAGTTCAGGTATTTATGTCAATCAGTTTTTGCACCGCTTTGAGCAGTTCTTTTCCCTATACAGATATCTACAAGTATCTACCCAGGTTTGTAGAACAGGAGGTTGCTACTTTCTCCACTATACCTGTTTCTGTATTCTTTTTATCCACACTTCCCTCTCCCTATCTCTCTCTATCTACCATTGTGTCTCTCCCTCTCCCCAGGGAAGAACAGAGCTCCACAATGCTGCTGAGAGAGGAGATGTGGAGGCAGTTGAGAGACTCCTCTCCACTTCTGTCAATGTCAACTCCAGGACTGAGGATGTGAGGCTCTCTACTAGTGAATGTGTGGTCTCATTTCTCACTCAGTTCATTGACTGCTGCTCCACTGGTCTCTGTATCCCCACCACTTGCAGGAAGGACACACTGCTCTACGGTTAGCCTCTTGGAAAGGTAATGTTGAGGTTGTACGTCTGTTGCTCAAGGCTGGAGCTGCAGTCTTCATTCCTGACAAGGTTTGGAGACCATGTCATGTTCTACTGTATTGTTGTCTGTTCCAATTGTCTGTACATACACAGTGTTGCAGGACTCCACTGTACTGGGCTTCAGTCAGAGGTCACAGAGCAGTAGTGGAGCAACTGCTAGAGAATGGAGCTGATGTCAGCATATGCAATGAGGTAAATTTTTAGATTGACTTTTAAGGTCAAAAGTATAATTATAATAGACTTGAGATTTGTATAGAAATTGAGGAGGAGACCTGACAGAGATGGTTGTCAGGTCTCCTGGTGTCCAGGGAGGGAGATGAGTGGTCAGTAGTGAGTCAGGAATGTCTCATTAGTTCTCTTTCACTGTACAGGATGGTCTCAGTCCACTCTATGTTGCCAGCCAAGAGGGACACTCTGAGGTGGTGGATGTTCTGGTGAAAGCAGGAGCTGATGTCAATCAGGCAACAACTGAGGTAAGTTTGTGAAACATTCTGAGAGAGTTGGATAGATTTACAGTGTCTTCCTATTAACACAATGCTGAGTGAAGTCATGGAATTATTAACCCTCGGCGCGCATGCGCAGCGAGGGTTACGGTAGTTGGGTTTGTCTGTCTGTCTGTCTGTCTGTCTGTGTGTCTGTCTGTTACTCGTCATCTCACTTCTCGAGTGTTCGTTCGTCTCACAAAGGATACCACCTACTGAACGGGCAATGAAGGTCAGAAAATATGTGGGGTTTTCTCTGAAACTGCTCCGTTGCAGAGCTAGAGCGCGAAAAAGCCAATTTGCAAATAGGCAACGGACGGGATGGCTTACCACGGTCTGATCGATCCGCGTGCTCTGCGTACCTCAGAGGCACCAGAAGATGCAACGCAGGGCGTGTATCGCCTCTCGCATGCTATCTAGTAGTGTAGTTAGCCCGCGTCAGACTCTGCGCGAGCTGGGAAGAGACCACCAGTAACAGCTAAAACTAAACCCAGCCCATCAATTAGTGGTACGGCGCATGCGTTTACTTACGCGTGCGCGTCACAATGCGCCGAGGGTTTGCACTTCAGTGCTTTTCATTAACTTAATAACTAGTTTGAAACCTAAAAATACGTATTGGTGAGTGAACCTACTCGTTTCTACCGTTTCTGAACTGTCCCATTACCTATTGGATATAGTATTATACACCATTGTAGAGCAGCATTGCACATCAAGTTGGGGCACAATGAAAAGATTGTGGTGATGGGAATGGCATTGTGTTGTCTTCACTCGAGGTGCTAGCTAGGCAAAGAGCAGCCTTGTTCCTCATTCCCAGGTCATTTCTTACTCCTGTCCTGGGAACAAGGCTATTAGACTATGGGTACAACTGTGACTCCAGTGATCCCTGGAAAGATTGTGGCACTTGAACCTCTCTGTTGCGTGCACACGTAAATGAAAATGTCCTCATAGTACTTGAAGTCTGGGGAGGGGGTAGAGAGATGGATGGAGTTACTCTGTTGTGTGTATAGTTATGTGAGGCTTGTAGCTAACATTGTAATCTGATTGCTAAAGCCTGCCATTGAAACCACCACCCTGTCCAAAGATGCCATAACCAGGAGGCAATACATTGTCTCTGTGGATGTCTACTGCACCCTGCTTTATAATGAAGGGGTATGGGGATGGCTCAAAAGAAAAAGACACACAGATAAGAAACAAAAAGCTACACGACACCATGCACCTCATGCGGAGTGAATGACCATGCCTCCTTGCAATCTGGGCTAATGATTGCGCTAATATGATTACTAATCAAATACTACGCAAATAAATTCCCCATCCACATTAAAACATTCTTTTGGTATTGTAATGAGCAGTTGGACTCTAGGTTCCAGACTACCTCACTAGTGCTGCCCTACTTCCTACTCTCTCACTGTAAATGATGGTGGCAGTCCACTCTATGTTGCCAGTCAAGAGGGACACTCTGATGTAGGGATGGATGTATGATTTTTGTTGTCGGCTGAAGCATCTTCTTGTTGGCATCCTTTTTTCATAATTTACGCCATCCCATTTTGAAGAAATGATACTGCCATTACAATGGTGGAATTTTGGGAGTGCTGCCTTACACCTAATTCATCAAATTTTCACTGGCCTTAGCTCACAAATTAATGCCCTGTAGCAATAATACATTAATTATGTAATTATAAACGCTTTATAGCTAAGGTACAATCTACACATATTTGGAAGTCCAGAAGTATCCATATCTAGGTTGCATGTGTGTGTGGCTGGTGTTTGTTGCCAGTTGCTGCACACTGTAGAGTGGGGGAGAAAAGGAACAGATGAAGTCCGGCATTGTGCCTCAATGGATAGCTACATATGTAGCTGATAAAATAATTATTATAGTAATGAAAGTTGCCCAGCCTCACGCGGAGTGAACGAACTTGCCTCCTTGCAATCTGGGTTAATTATTGCACTCATATGAATTCCCCATCCACATTAAAACATTCTAGTGGTATTATAATGAGCAGTTGGACTCTAGGTTCCAGACTACCTCACTAGTGGTGTCCTACTTCATACTCTCTCACTGTACAGGATGGTTTCAGTCCACTCTATGTTGCCAGTGAGTATGGACACTCTGATGTAGTGGACATTCTGCTAGAGGCTGGTGCTGATGTCCACCAGGCCACCACCGAGGTATGATCACTGGAGGCTAATCACCACATCCATTATAGCGTTTTAGATATTGTAGCGTGGCTTATGCGCGTTCAACAGCTTCCTCAGGTATAGCAATACCAATATCAGGTCGAGCACACGTATGAATTTAGCAAGGTGCTTTTATAGTGTGTTAGTGTAAGGGGCGAGTTATATGGGGGAACAGGATAACATATTTTCTACATGTGTATGCACTGGCAGGATATGGGTGCTTGCTGGCTTCATTGCCTCGGCCCAATCCACTATGCCAGTATTTTGATTTCGGGTTTTGGCTCGGTGCTGGCCTTGACCAGCAGGAGTGGGGAGGGGCCTAGGCTCCAACCACAAATGTCTGGGCAGGGTCAGCACATACCAGTGGCAAAGCCTTGTGGGGATGAATCTCATTAGTTCAGAACCACAAGTGCTGCCAGAGAGTGGTATGCTCTGCTGATGATGGCCCAAACAGCTGTCCAGAGCTCCACATGTTTTTTTCTCTTGGCATCACATGGTATTTTCTCTGACATCGAGGCTCTGAAGAATAAAATATAGATTTTCAATTGCTTCTCTACCATGGGGTGGTCGATACCACACTCCCACATGAGGTTTTTGTGTTGGCTTACTTGCATCGTATACAGAGACCAAGTGGACCTCTAATCCATTGTTCCCAGACAGTAGCACTTGTGACTCTAGTGTGTCAGATATAAACATGGCTACTCCTCCACCACGACGATGTCTGTCATGTCGTATGCAATGGTACCCTTGTATAGAACACTCCAACAACGCAATTTCATCACAGAACCATGTTTCTGAGATGCATACAATATCAGGCTTCTCAAGGGCACAGTAGACACGTAGTTCATCTATCTTTGGGTGAAGACTTCTTGCATTGTAGTGTATCTGTTTTAGAGCTTTCACCCTTCACGTGATGTTTTTAAAATGTCGCTGCTGCTGCCATGGCGTCCATCTCAAGAGGGTGACTGACCGCTGTCTCAGGATAGGTGACTGACCGCCGTATATCAGAGTCGGGTCAGGTGTCGTGTATGTTATAGACTCGTAATAAAACTACGCTCTTCAAGTCCATCGTAGTAAAACTACCATCTCGTTTACGCGCACGTGTCATTGTATTTTGTATAAGTTGTAACTACGGCGTAGCTACACTTAGAAAAACTCTGGGCTTCGCATGTAGATCAGAGAATATTGTAATTACACTACAGTACGTTTTTGTAGTGTAGTAGTGTGTAGAAACCACTTTGTATTTTTGGTGCGTTTTTTCTGACTGGTACCGTAGTTAAAAGAACTTTAAAGCTAAGGCATACATCATATTTTACAAGTCCAAGCCATTTGACAGTAGTACTCTTTGGGCCCATTTTCCAATTTGAAGGTCAAACTCACATGTCAAAAGCAAATTTACCTAATATTATATCTACAGCCTCCACATACTGATACTTACTGGTGACTGGTGACAGACCTTTATACATTAGCTTTTGATGTTTAAACGTGAGTTAGACCTTCAATAGCTTAGGTCTCAAGCGTCCCGAATCAGTGAGGACTGTCCCGCTAATTGTCTCTTCGTCTCGCTGTCATGCTTACCAATGCATTTATCATGCTCTCAGGTCAATTGGGGTTGAGATGTATGTGTAACAGTTGTATTTCCCTGGTACTGATGGTGATGGGTGGCCTTCTCTCTCATCAGGTTGGTGCTGTTCCTCTGGGGAAAGCTGCCCAGAATGGACATACTGAGACAGTTCAGAGACTGTTGGAGGCAGGAGCCAACGTCAACCACCAGAACAAGGTGTGTGTTTTGGTTGTCTACACTTACAGTATATACATACACACCTATCTTTCTTCTCTCTCCTTCGTGTCTTTCCACTCTCTCTTGGTAATGATGACAGCTCAGGTGTAGCTACACAGTAATAATAAAGTAAATGGGGGTAACTCCAGACACGGAGGTAACTCCGGACATGGGGTGTAACACCAGCCTTGAAATTATTCGCTGCGCAAAACAATGTGAAGAAGATTTCTCAGCGCTTTGGTAGGTAGCAATCAAGTGAAATATAATATCCGAATCTTTCTCTTGTTTTTATAGCGAGTTATGTCCATGTATTACCCGAAATTACCCCCCTTTACCTTACTTTTTGATTATCAAAGTGTCACCTTGAAGTGTTTGCATTGTGTATTTGCCACTCATAGACTTCTTCTATATTCTCCACATAGAATGGAGGCACAGCCTTGCTCTATGCAGGATGGAAAGGTCACTCAGAGGTGGTGAAACTACTGCTAGGAGCTGGGGCCAGAGACTTTCCTGATAAGGTAGACCAACTCTAAACATGTAGAGAAAATAATGTCCTACTGTCTATCCTGATGGAATTCTCTCTCTGCCTGTCTCTATAGTATAGTTGGCTATCTTCTCTCTCTCTCTCTTCATTGTCTGATGAATGTCTCTCTCTACAGTTTGGAAACACTGCTCTCAGCCTGGCCAGAGCCAACAACCAGAATGATGTGGTACAGCATCTACTGCAAGGGACACGGTGAAAGAATGCTTGCTTTTAGTAACCTTTAGCCCTTAGCTATATAATTCCACATTCCCTATAAGAGTAGGTCACCACAGGCAACAATATAGCGATTGTGTCTCTGTCTCTCTCTACAGTTTGGAGACACTGCTCTGAGTCTGGCCAGAGCCAACAACCACAATGATGTGGTACAGTATATACTGCAACACAAGCCAAAGTAATCAACTAGCCACAGTTACAACTACATAAGTACACAATATCCTTTTATGGACGCATAATTATAAACATAACTTTACTTTACAGATTTTGTTTGTGTGATGATAGCACAGAACATTATTAATGCATAGAACTGCTACAAAACCTCCCCTGCCACACTGCAATATTCACGGTACAAAAATTATCAATTTAGATGGTGACTGGTGAATCATTGTACACTTGTCAAAATACACCATTATTTTATTGTTACAGTGACAAGCATAATGTAAGGAGGATGGTACATTGTAACTAGTAACTAGGATGGAGTGTTGTTTGGTAGTTGAGTAACTCCAGTTGTCACTGTCTGGAGAGGAGCTCTCTGTCTCCACTCACTCCATGACCCCTACAACAACAACAACAACACAACAACACTCTTTTTGGCGATGGTCTCAGTAAAGGAGACATGGCTATGGAGAAGTGTTTTGGGCGTTTTTATAGCCTACATCAGCATAGCATAATTATACTGCACTCCCCCATCAATGATTATAATTTCGTTGCAACTTCAAACCATGCAACATGTTCCATCAATAGGTATGCCTTGTACTTTGTGTCACAGCCTATACACCATGATACAGTTGCCTTATCTCACGCAACAGAAAGTTGCATGGGTATAGTGACCTTTAGAATACTACTACAAAAGAAGGTCCCCTACTGTTTGTCTGCGATAACATCAGAGAGACGATGGTAGTGTATTATCTTACATCATAGAGAGGGATGGTGGTGTTGAGAGAGTGTGCAGCTAGAGCAATGATAGCTGCAGTGACACCACTACCACATGTGGCAACCACTGGCTGGGTTAAGTCCACTCCTGACCTCTGGAACTCTAGAGAGAGACAGAGAGAGAGGGAAGAGGGGGCTATCATTTTGCCTACATTGATATCAACACCTGTAATCGTGCAAGCCACACCAGGCATTCTGCTTTTTAATGTTAGTACAGGGCACTTGGCATTTTTACCTAAGAAAGAGAAATAGCTATCCTAGACTAGCATATCTCTACAACCAAGTTCCTAATAATTATTTTACTGGTCCACGTAGCACCAACTTTTAAGAGGTTTCTTTACCAATGCTATGCTTTGCTGGTGCTTCTTCTGCTTTTCGGAGGGTCTGTTATAAGAAGTTCCAATGTAGGTAGCATGACTATAATTATTATGTTGACTAATTCTCTGTACAAAGGTATGCAGGTTTTCTAGCACAATTTGTGGTGAGAATGTGACAATGTACAGTAGAGACCTGAGGCCAGAAGGCTCCTGGTCTTGACAGTACCCCACTGAGCATGCAGTAGTCTGCTGTAGTGGAGGTTGACTGCTCCCTTCATCCCTCCACTGGGCAGAGAGGGGCGGGGCTCCGGGACCTCACCTTTGAACCTGGCACTGCTACGTGCATCTACAACCTGAGACCAAAGTATACCACAGAGTGTACCACTGAAAGAGTATTGGATCAACTTACACACATCAAACTGCTATACCAAAAAGAAAGATTTCCCATAGACTATCATAACACCATCATATTATTATTATAAAATCAGTGAAATGTGTCCGTCATTCAGAGGCCTTTATGTAGGCAGGGTAGCTCTAATGCACTAATATAGCCAGAACCAAGTGCCCTTTAAGAGGGTCCTCTTTTGTAGTTAGTCAGAGGCAGGGAAAAGAATTTGCTGTGATTATCCCAATCCTACAGAAGTGACCTGTTTGTGACGAGATGTGTGGTTATCCAACATCTGCTCATAATTCCTGAGCAAGTGAGGGTTGAAAGATGCAGTGAAATTAGTGGCCTCTGGTGTGTGGGGTTCCCCTGAGACTGTGGGGAACCAGTGAAATTTCCACCTCCTCAGACCCCCATCCAGCACCGACACTCTCTCGTGACCAAACAACTGTGGACAGAACAAAATATGACAGCTACTTAATATAAATTTGGGCTTTCTTAAAAGAAATAGTAGCAGAGATCGTGAAGACAGCTTAGAGTAAGTAATCTCAATGTGCACAAACACCATGAACATACACTACTTGCATCATTTGCTGCTTTATTCTACCACTTTTCTAGTCTTGTCTACCTTAGCTCTTGTTTGTACGCAGTGCATGATCCATCAATGTATGTCTGCATGATGGGTCGCGCGCAATAGACAACACTTCAAATTTCAAGCAACATGTTGCAAAGGACGTTACATAGAAGCTGAGTAACAAGGTTGCACAGTGAATGGAGGCCATTAGGAGAGGAGAGAAGGAGAGAGAACTGACTCTGAACATCCACCAGACTCTAGCAGAGGCCATCAGTCCCTCACTGTGTCCATCATACACCACCACATGATCTCTATTACCCACTCCCATCTGGACACATGGAATAGTAGACCGCAACATCTGTGGAAGTTGTCCACCATAATTATGGGGGGTGAATCGTGGCAAAATTCGATGATTTTTTTTTCGTCTGTAGGAGGCATGTTTCGCTGATCGGATGCATGTTTCTTCAAGAGGAGGTGCATTGTTGGTAACCCGACTCTTCGAGTTGGATGGGGAGTGGTCGATGTGGCGCATGTGTATGGCTGACCTCCTTGACTTTCAAGACAGCACACTGCGTTCTGAACCTGCTGCTGCCAGGAGCTGAGGTGTCGCAGTCATCAACTGCTGTAGGTCTGTCTACATAATATTAGTCCCTCAATCGTCTGTGTGCACATAGTAATGGCCGATGGTAAAAGCCGATGACCTTGATTTACAGTTACATGAGCTTTAGAACCGATGACGGGTGATGAGGTCCTCACTCCAAACGATCATGCCGTCAAAGTACTGGAGGAGCTACTACCAGCACAGAACCAGTCCTACGAACTGGGACGAAGTAAAGGGCATGCTTGTTTAAATACTCCATGTTTCCACAGGTTCTGGCTATCAACTGGACCTACACAACCAAGTTAGTCCACTACTGTAGCTGTTAACAAGTGTAGCAGGGCCACTCCGGAAAGTTTGTAATGCTTGATACTCTGCCAGTCACATCCATGCGTCATTATCATAAGCCAAGTTGAAATCACAGTGGATAATCCTTTAAGAGGGTAATACAGCTATACCGGTATAATGTAATCTTATTACGTAACCCTATTAGTCAGTACCTTTATGGCATTGCCATATGCCATTCGACCCAGCAATTGTGTTGATGGCTATGCAAACAAGTATAAGCAAAGCTAAAATGAAAAGCACGCTCTTTGTGGATTATTCCTTGTTTTTGGCCCCATTATTCTTTTCCTCAATAATTATTCCTGTGAATGCTCCTATTACTATTCTCAAGTATTCTCAAGAAAATGAATCATTTTATGGGTTTGTAAGTGTTGTCTCTGTAGCTAACTATACTGTGTGCTTTGAACAAGTGGTGGGTAACTCGCCAATCTTTCTAGCAGTGCCAATCTCAGACTCAGCCTCAATTCTTACTGTATATAGCTTTGACGACAACAGTTTCTTGACCTCCACAGCATTGGTATCTAGCCCCCATGCAGAAATACGCATGCTTGCCCTGCTCCCTCAGCTAAGAAGCAGCCTATTATTACTGAATTATTCTCGCTTATCTGCACTGCCTATTATTCCCAAAATTATTCCGGAATAATCCGCTCAGGGCTATTCGGGACTGCGCCATGATAGTAGCTGAGATTCGTCCCGGTTCCTTCATCATCACCTGGTTCATACCAGAGTCCATTGTCAAGAAACTGAGAGAAGACATCCCTCACCTCATCCTCAAGAAGTACACTGTCGTCAGCCTTCAAATTGCAGGAGTCAAGGTTTATCCACCTCCTCAGGTGAGATTGTGTGTTGTGTAATAACTCCTTGTTACCTGAGACCTCCATGTCTGTATGGCAGAAGTCAGCAGCAGTCTCGTCACCTGGTCCTGGACCTTCAGCTGGTGGTTCTGTTGAGAAATCACCTCCTCAGTATGTTAATATACCCATTGTTGCATGGTGAACTCCATTACCATTTGTTGCATTGTTAATCTGTCGGCACGCATGCACAGCGAGGGATATTCGTTGGTCTGTCTGTATGTCTATCTGTCTGTCTGCCTATTACCATGTTTTCTGCCACCACGCTCAACAGGACAAAACAAAACACCGATACCAAATGTTTCAGCGCCACACTGGCTTGATTTTAAATTTGGCGAATTTTTAAAAGCAGTGTGTTCCAGAGTTATGGCATGAAAACTACGGGGGTGCCCTTTGTTCCAAAACTCATTCTCCAAAAATGCATAGGTAATATGTCCACTATGATTATAATTATAAATTTGCTGCAATGTTTAGGATATGTACCACACTTTTTGTATATGGACAAAACCATTTATATTTTCACTGGAGCATTAGCAAATCGAAGCACGACATTTCTAAGTCGGAAAATGAATTTATAAGTCGATCGTCACTTGTATAAATCGCTGCAGAATCTGTGACCTGACTGTGGGACAGAATTTTGACTATTTTGTTCCAAAATACGTCATGGTAGACATTGCAGTTTCAGTATATCGACCGTGAAATTTATAAATCGACGAAGACACTTACATTGTACTCTCACTCGGTATGTAGGAGCAGACCGGGGTATATGTACATGTTATACTATATAGGTGAATGCTTTGGCCAGCAGGAGCATGCAACCTGTTGCGAGTCACAGCTTGATGAGTCTATAGACACCGCGCGAATTGATTGTGCTTGACAGGCAAATCTGTATATTTCACCAGTATATATCTAGTAGTAGAATAATGTGCATTGTCTGAGCTACTGTGTATGTCATCAGATTTCATTAACTTGGCTCACTCCTCTTTGCCAATATGCAAGTATTTTGTTGAATTGTAAAATGTGTGGACTTTCTGGTAGCAGTGGCTCTAGTCTAGGCTGCTTGTATCCACAAATCTACTACCAGGTATATAGCTACTATACAGAATGAATGAACGCATTATTGGCGAGCGAGCATGACCATTTATTTACATTATTTCACACAGGAATCACGTAGAACATTATGGTATGTGTATATTTTATTATTAAAATTGCATTCACTAGTTTCACTATCTTGTGCTCTCTGCATTCAGACCCCTAAATATACAAGCTCGTCTTGCACCTTTGCCATGACATCACCCCCTTTCTCCTCCTTCCCTCACTTTAATCATATCCTCACAGCACTTCCCAGGCCAAAGGTCATGACAGTGACGTTCTCCTGAAACCAGTCAACTTCTATAGAGACCCTTTCTTCCTGGTCTGCATTAACCTCTATAACTAGTGTCAATGTGTTTGGTGATCAATCTCAGCATCCTAATGTATGAGAAAAGGCCAACATTGATGGTCTCATGCAACGTAAATGTATGGGATATGATGTGTCTGCATGTTTCATGCAATAGACAACACTCCTTTTGTCATGAAACATGTTTCTGTGGCTATCATATCCCCTGGGTAGGCATTTGTTCTAGCATTACTTCATAGGATTATCTCTCTACTGATGTTATTGCTAAGCTATGGACTAGAAATTCTGTGGTTGTTGTGCAGGGTAACAGTATCCTAGTGATGTGTGAGACTTATTCCAAGGACGGGACACCTCACCCTACAAACAAGAGATACTCTTGTGACAGGATAATGGAGAGGTGTGTACTACTGGAGGTCACCATATTACGTGTTGCAACTTTGTTGCACACAACTTCAAATGTATGACGTGTGCATGCAACATGCCTTTCTGCATGGCCTATCATACCCACACATTTGAAGTTGGCTGCGATTTTGACAATGTAGCATCGTGTATTATGGTTTTACGTAACTTAAGCCACAAAGAAAGGGGAATGAATAAACAACACCACATTCTCCTCATTAGACATGAACACACAGTAAAGTGTATATGACCTCAGTTGGTAGAGCGCTCGTGTCGTGGGTTCAAATCCCACCCAGGGCAGCTCTTCCCTTTTCCTTGGAAAAAAAGAGTTGTCCTGGGTGTAGTTGACTTGTTTGCTTTGCCCTTGCCTTTCTACGTCTCACCTTTTTGTTGACACGTGGAAGTAAAACACCCACACACTCTCTACAAACTAAACCTTATAGAATGTGCGTAGTTTACTTTACGTGAAAACTCCGTCAAAAAAAAAGAAACGATTGAAAGCAACACATTTTTGGTGGCTTACATGAACAACTTGTTACAGTATGATACAATGCAGTATACACTCAGCAATTCAGACCACTACATACGTAGGCTCAGCCTCACTCTCCAGTTATATACTGTTCTACTAATGTACGTATCTGTGTGTCAGAGTGATGGATGAGGAGAACCCAGAGTTTGCCATAGAGCAGGAGTACACTCTACTGGACTACGATGGCCACCCGTTTGGCTGGCCAAAGTCGGGCTACCCTGGACAGCAAGGTCCCTACTACTGTGCCGTGGGAGCCACCAACGTCTTTGGGAGACAGGTCTGCCCCACCCCACATTGACACACACACACACAGTGGCGGATCCAGGGGGGTTCCTTTGGTTCTGCGGAACCCCCCTTTTGTCGTTTTGCGCGCATGCATCGCCGGCCTTGTGCACGCACGAGTGCAGTCGAAAGTGTTCTGGACAGCGGAACCCCCCCTTTTGAAAATCCTAGATCCGCCACTGACACACACATTGTGATGATATCAACCTGTAGTGGATCAAGTGAGCACATTGTAGTCCCAATTAAACAGAGGAGATTGGCAATCACTATGCTAAAGGTAACAGTGTCCGGTAAAAAGGGGCATTGCTTCATTGAGTCATGGTTTACTGTTTTCTGTTGTTTCATGGTCTAGTCTAACCCCTAGCCCTGTTCCCTTATAGCATACTTACTGTGTGTTTAACCAGTGTATCATGTACTGTGAATTGTTCCTTCTTCTGTTTTGTTTGAAGAACCTAAAAATGGAAGCGGTTGGTGCATTGATGATGGGCCATTTTACACATATTGTCTTGTTCACTTGCTTTTCATGTGCCCACTGTCATGTCTATCACGTGGTGCTTTGTGTCCCACTGTAGTAGATATCAGAGGCCCACTACAAGGCCTGTCTGTACGCAGGGCTGTGTGTGAGTGGCTCCAATGCAGAGGTGATGCCAGCTCAGTGGGAGTACCAGGTTGGACCTTGTCCGGGGACTGCCATGGGAGATGAACTATGGGTCTCCAGGTCTGTACATACTCCAGTGTTATGTATAACTAGAGAGATTTCAAAGGTAGTGGTATACCCAGTGTGCCCGATGTGTGTAGCTATATATCCTTTCGTGTCTTGATCTTGTCTAGAGGTGTGTTTGACAGCTCAAAATGTACACCCTAGTTGTGAGGAAGGCCTGGGGACAAGGGTCCACCCTTGCCTTGTAGTGTACTGTAGACTTTGTTCTTGCTTCACGGACTATCTGTAGATTTATGTGCAAGCCTCACATTTTATTTTAGCCCCAACATCTAGAAACACTGTCACCACAAAAAATGTGTATATCATGTAGATGTCACTTCATTCACTGTCACCACTGGCGTAGCCCGAGGCGTGGTATAGTTAACAGCCGAGGAGGATTTCCTGTACGCGCCAAGACGCCTGACGTTAACTGATTTGTAGTGCAACTAGCCAATCACAATGCTGAATTTCTGCTGTGTCTTCTTGCACTAATTACTAATGACTGTTGTGTAAACTTTGGAAGCCAGATAGTTTGCACTATGCCAAGCGCTAGATTTTGTGATAAGGACTTCCTGTCCAATACTGATACCCGTGCAGCCCGCAGCCCACAGTATATTCCTAGCACCTGGTTGTTTGAAGTTGGACTACAAATCTCATTGTTGGCTCTGCCCAGTACTGTATGTGTGTGCTATGGCCCTAGTGCTACTTGTCCAAACCTTTGAATCTTGCAAAACATAACCAAAGCAAAATGTGTCCTACAATGACAGAGCCTTGGAAGTACCTTAAAGTTAAGTACAGTCCCAGTGACAAAGGTAATGAGATGAGAGAGGTGGTATGGACATACCTTCATGCCATTTTCAGCCTTCATTCTGGAGGTGCTGAAGTTGCAGTGGCCTCCAGCCCCGTTCCAGTCTCCCGGCATGGGTTTGGGGTCCAGTGTCACTATCACTCCGAAATCCTCCACCACACGGTGCAAGATGTACCTGCAGCCACATATTTCGGAGGATTTCGGAGTGATAGTGACACTGGACCCCAAACCCATGCCGGGAGACTGGAACGGGGCTGGAGGCCACTGCAACTTCAGCACCTCCAGAATGAAGGCTGAAAATGGCATGAAGGTATGTCCATACCACCTCTCTCATCTCATTAGCTCTGTGGGGGAGGATTTCGGAGTGATAGTGACCCCAAACCCATGCCGGTATATGTACAGTACTGGGCAGAGCCAACAATGAGATGTGTCTGTTTTTACGTACCTCCTTGACTTCGACATTTCCTCCCTTTCCCGTGTGATTACTGAGACTGGGACTGTTGAATGCACAGTACCCATAACAATAGGAGACAAGAATGTAATTGTGTGTGTGCTGCAGGTGATGGAGGAGGCCATTCAGAGACTGGAGAAGAGACACAAGGAACACATCATACTCTATGACCCCAGTGGAGTGAGTGGATGGGAGAGAGGGAGGGGGCGATGAGAGTAAGGAAGGGAAGTTTGGTGATAATCAGGCACTTTTATCACTTCATCAGTCGCTAACAGTAGTCTGCATTGTACTGTAGAATGGCAAGTTCATGGAGCCTGGGTTTATGGAATGGTGGTGAACTAGTATGTGACCACTTTTTCAATCATTCCTTCTCTCTCCTATTTTCCTCCCTCCCCTCTTTTTCTCTGACCCAGGGAGTAGACAACAGTCGTAGACTGACAGGTCTTCACGAGACAGCTCACATTGACCAGTTCTTCTGGGTAGTGGCCACAGAGGAGCCTCCATCAGAATACCTCGTGGAGTCGCTCAAGGTTGACATAATTATGACATCATATGTATTAGCATAGGACCATTATCCACTTGACTAGAATAAGTTGGAGTCTCTCTTGTAGCATTATACCACTACAATGAAAGTGTGTTCTTGGAGAGCACTTTGTTTACAGTGGGTGTTCTATACTGTGTGGTACATACATGTTTGTGCACATGTAACCATAGACCATGTGATGCCAAGAGAAAAAAACAGATTCTACATAGTAGGCATTGTTATGATAGTGACAATATCAACTTTCTCTCCTCTCCCACATGACGTGTGTGTGTGTGTGTGCAGCTGGTCGAGGCTACCTTGAGGACAGAAGGCCGTCCAGTAATGGCGATCCCTACCTGGTGTGAGAGGCTCTGGTCTGTACTGCAGTCCTGGATGACTGGACTGACTTTGACTGGACTAACGTGCCCTCTAAACCTTGACTGACTTTGTCTCTAATAGCTACCACTGATTGTGCACCAACTGAAATCTCTGGTTTACTTTTTTCAAAATTAGTTTTGTCTGCGTTCGCATCGTTGCAGTGGCAAAATAGCACAGTCATGAGTATGTTGCCAACTTATTGATGGCTTTTTAAATAAACCATTATGTTTCTGCACCACTCAGCACTGTTTAGGTTGTTGGATAAATCGCTTGGTAGATAGCTACAGCTAAACAGTCTCATACATATAAGCTAGCACAGTCGCTCAAAGATATAGCTAATTGTACAGCTAAATCGTCGGGTAGATATACAGATCGCCGGGTAGTTTTGTCGTTGCCAGATCGCGCAGTCGAGCTGACCTTAGTGATACGCATGCAGCTAGATAACTACCTAGCGATTTAGCCTAGCTATCGGACGATTTAGAGATCTATCCAACAATTTATGCGAAAAAGAGGTAATAATTATGATGAAGCTACTAAAATTAATAGCGAAATTTGATATGGCGCCCCAGGGCCATAACTGCTTGCGCGGTTCAATACGCGCCTAGCGTAGTGCCATGCCCGTTTTTTCACTCTCGCGCTGGTCCCTGGTCGCCGACTGGCTCGACGACGCAGTAACAGTCAGTGAGCCTAGTCTTGCGAGCGGCTAACGTTTGTATATTATGTTGAAGTGGTGGCGCAAGGGGGGTGCTGGAGCACCCAAAGCACCCATCCTGTCTACGCCACTGGTAATGGTTGAAGGTAAAGGCTAGAGTGAGTGGCCTTGATCGCTCATAAAAGCTTATCCCAATGTACACAGCGCCGACGACAGGTGGCGAGGTCCTGACTCCAAACGATGCCGTCAAAGTACTGGAGGAGCTACTACCAGCACAGAACCAGTCCTACGAACTGGGCTTGAGGTTGAATCTAAAGCCACACGAAGTAAAGAGCATCCATGCAACCTTTTCCGACCCGCGCAAACGTCTTCTTCAGATCGTGTTGGAGTTCCTGAACCAAGTAGAGCCCAGACCAACCTGGAGAGTCATTGTAGATGCCCTCAAAAGTCCTGCAGTCAATCTTCCTCAGCTAGCAATGGCTGTGGAGGCAGCTCACTTTCCTGACACTACACCAGCGCTCGTACCTGAAGCCAGTGGTAGGAGTGTTTGAGATTCTTCTCCTCAGTTTTCATTATACTGCACTGTCTCTCTCTCTGTTTCAGTCTCTTCCTCTCAGAGTCCGGCCACCTCCTCTCAACCAGGCCTCTCCTCACCTGTCCATGGTAATGACTCACCTAACTTTGTCCAAATTTAGACTGTCTGTTGGTTCGACATGTAATACCAGTATATACATATTTCTGCAAGACATACTTGTTTGAACACTCCATGTTTCCACAGGTTCTGGAGCCTCACCACTCACTGAAGTGGACTGTCAACCAGACCTGCCGCAACCAAGTTAGTCCACTACTGTAGCTTTTAGCAAGTTTAGCAGGGCCACTCCGGAAAATTTGTAATGCTCGATTCTCTGCCAGTCACATCACCTGCATCATTATCATAAGACAAGTTGAAATCACAGCGGATAATCTCTTTAAGAGGGTAATATAATTATACGGGTCAAAATGAAGAACATGTAATCTTATTACGTAACCCTATTAGTCAGTACCCCTATGGCAGCTGCCATTGGACCCAGCAATTGTAAGAACAACACCCACTCAAATATGTCATATAATAATAGTAGTAATGAATAAACTTTGCATATTTTGTACATTTAAGGAAACAATGAATCTTGATACAGTGGCCGTTAATATACATTGCGCTCCAAGTATACACATATATCCAAGTATACATAATATGTATATAAGACACTTCATAAAAAGTGTCTATTCCTTCATCTCCAGCAACTGGTGATACAGTGACTGAACTCCAGCATCGACCAGAGTCACCTCAGCCTAGTACGTATGCTCCACACTTGTCTGGGATATTGCCACTGATCCATAACTCTATGTGACCATGGTCTGTCCAACAGGTCCAATGACCACTCAGTATGTCCAGGCCAAGATTAGAAGGTTTGAGAAGAGGTTCAATGACCTGAAGAAGGCTGCCAGGGGGTGCCTCGAGAAACGCAAGATTTCTGTCAAGCAAGTCGTTGATGCTCTCACGTCGATGCCTGCTGATGACATTGAGGAACATGAACTGTTTCTGAAAGACAATCTGAGCGATCTCTACCAGTCTTTTGATATTTCGGAGCTCATTGGAAAGTTGAGCCTACTGCAGTGGAACTACCTGTCCTACCAGTTGCTGGACTACCTGATCAAGGAGTTTGGTTTGGAGGTGAGGAGGGAGATGGAGGCCTACAAGCTAGATCTGCAGAGGTTCCGCCAGAAGACACCACTAGCTCTGTTCTGCCAGTCTCAGAAGAGGAGGCAAAAGAAGCCTCCAGAAGGTTTCGAAGAGATGGTCGCCGAGTTTGACTGGCCGCACGAAGTGACACTGGAAGTTGTGGAGCAGTTTCGACAAGAGTATGCCTATCACTACAAGCTTCGAGACTGTGCCATGCTGTTGGCTAAAGTCCTTCCCGGTTCCTTCATCATCACCTGGTTCATACCAGAGTCCATTGTCAAGAAACTGAGAGAAGACATCCCTCACCTCATCCTCAAGAAGTACACTGTCGTTAGCCTTCAAATTGCAGGAGTCAAGGTTTATCCACCTCCTCAGGTGAGATTGTGTGTTGTATAATAACTCCTTGTTACCTGAGACCTCCATGTCTGTATGGCAGAAGTCAGCAGCAGTCTCGTCACCTGGTCCTGGACCTTCAGCTGGTGGTGCCGCTGGTTCTGTTGAGATATCACCTCCTCAGTATGTTACTATACCCATTGTTGCATGGTGAACTCCATCATCACCATACCATCCATCCAGACCCAAGACAGAGGAGTCCCGTCTCTCACCAGAAGAGGATTACCCTTTCGTTGAGAAGCCATCAGAGGATTTCTTCTGTCCGGTGACGTTGGGTCTACTGCTCCAGCCTCACCTCACGTCATGCTGTGGTAAACATCTCTCAGAGGAGTCTGCCACCAGAATACAGGGAGTGGGAGGACCATGTCCACTCTGCAAGTCTCCTGACTGGAGTACCGTTCTGGACAAACACGTCCGTCGACAAGTGAAGGAGCTTCATGTGTTCTGTCGTCACAAGGAGAAAGGCTGTTGGTGGAAAGGAGAGTTGTCTGACTTTACACAACATGTCCAGTCTTGCCAGTTCAGGTATTTATGTCAATCAGTTTTTGGACCGCTTTGAGCAGTTCTTTCCCTATACAGATATCTACAAGTCTCTACCCAGGTTTGTACAACAGGAGGTTGCTACTTTCTCCACTATACCTGTTTCTGTGTTCTTTTTATCCACACTTCTCTCTCCCTATCTCTCTCTATCTACCATTGTGTCTCTCCCTCTCCCCAGGGAAGAACAGAGCTCCACAATGCTGCTGAGAGAGGAGATGTGGAGGCAGTTGAGAGACTCCTCTCCACTTCTGTCAATGTCAACTCCAGGACTGAGGATGTGAGGCTCTCTACTAGTGAATGTGTAGTCTCATTTCTCACTCAGTTCATTGACTGCTGCTCCACTGGTCTCTGTATCCCCACCACTTGCAGGAAGGACACACTGCTCTACGGTTAGCCTCTTGGAAAGGTCATGTTGAGGTTGTACGTCTGTTGCTCAAGGCTGGAGCTGCAGTCTTCATTCCTGACAAGGTTTGGAGTCCATGTCATGTTCTACTGTATTGTTGTCTGTTCCTATTGTCTGTACATACACAGTGTTGCAGGACTCCACTGTACTGGGCTTCAGTCAGAGGTCACAGAGCAGTAGTGGAGCAACTGCTAGAGAATGGAGCTGATGTCAGCATATGCAGTGAGGTAAATTTTTAGATTGACTTTTAAGGTCAAAAGTATAATTATAATAGACTTGAGATTTGTATAGAAATTGAGGAGGAGACCTGACAGAGATGGTTGTCAGGTCTCCTGGTGTCCAGGGAGGGAGATGAGTGGTCAGTAGTGAGTCAGGAATGTATCATTAGTTCTCTTTCACTGTACAGGATGGTCTCAGTCCACTCTATGTTGCCAGCCAAGAGGGACACTCTGAGGTGGTGGATGTTCTGGTGAAAGCAGGAGCTGATGTCAATCAGGCAACAACTGAAGGTACGTATGTGAAACATTCTGAGAGAGTTGGATAGATTTACAGTGTCTTCCTATTGACACAATGCTGAGTGAAGTCATGGAATTATTAACTTAATAACTAGTTTGTTTATTGGCGAGCGAACCAATCGTTTCTACAGCCGATTTCTATATATTATGTGACGGGCACTGCACACACTGAAATGTTCTACGTGATTCATGAAATGAGCGAATAATCATAACTGCTCGCTTCACTTGCCAAGAATGTGTTGCCTTCTTCTAGTAAAAGGGGTGTTGTGCCTCTTTGAGCTGTCCCGGTATTACCTATTGGATATTGTATTATACACCATTGTAGAGCAGCATTGCACATCAAGTTGGGGCACAATGAAAAGGTTGTGGTGATGGGAATGGCATTGTGTTGTCTTCACTCGAGGTGCTAGCTAGGCAAAGAGCAGCCTTGTTCCTCATTCCCAGGTCATTTCTTACTCCTGTCCTGGGAACAAGGCTATTAGACTATGGGTACAACTGTGACTCCAGTGATCCCTGGAAAGACTGTGACACACTTCTCTGTCTGCTCTCAAAAGCTTAAAGTATTGGGCAGTCGGTTGCGTGGCTGGTGTCTGTATAGCTAGAGGTCAAAGGTTTGAGGAGTCCACTTGTCAGTTTTTAAAATGCAGTTTTCGACATTAATTTCGATCTGTTCTTGGTATTTGTCCACTTTTTGGAGATGAATTGTCCAATTTTACAACCAGGTTACACATTTTTACTTTGTAGGGGATAGCTATTCCTAGCTAACTGCTGCCACAAAAATGCCTCGTTGATGTAGAATAGAAAGTCTGCAGAAAGTATTAATCAGATGCCGGTAGACACTCTATGTAGGGATGTAACAAGTCAATATTAATTCTGCATCATCTGTGCACAAAGTGCATCGGTTCATGACTCAGCAAGAACAACCTAAACCATTCCATACCACCAGCACTGTGTACATGCAAAGATACCAACCTCCTAGTGAACCTTGGTGATCATTTTCTCTCTCTCGGTGTAGGCCGTTCCCCTCCTTTCTCATGACGTGGCATCCCTACAGCCCTTCATTTCAGAGAAATGATTTTTCCACTCATTGTACCATAGAGTATAGGGAAAAGGCACAAGTACACAGCAGACTCTTTGGCATCTCACACACACCAACAAACACCACACTTTAGTACCCAAAAAGATGTGCAGTGAATGATACAGCATGTTTGGCCCATAATAATGGCAGCCATACCTTATTAGGTGCTGAGAATTTAGTCTCAGTTTCTGTCTTCTCTCTCCAGGAACCATGCAGTGTTCCTCTGGGGATAGCTGCCCAGAATGGACATACTGAGACAGTTCAGAGACTGTTGGAGGCAGGAGCCAACGTCAACCACCAGAACAAGGTGATGACTACTACAGTCCTGATTCCTACTTTCAGTTATGGTGACTATCTACGACTGTTGCTAACAGACAACTTAGACTTCGTTGAACCTGGCTACAGACCTTGACAGGACCAATTATGTAGCCACAATACCACCACATAACTGCTGTATAGAAACCCAGTCCCACATGCATGCTCATGAACCATTTCACCTCACACCATGTCCCACATGTCGTGTTCTGTTTTATGTTTCTCTACATAGTGGATCGGACTCCAGTCGACTCTGCCCTCCTTCAATGGTCTGCAGCTGTAGTTCAATGCTGATAGAGAATGGAGCTTACATCAGTATCTGTCAAAAGGTACATACAGTTTAGTTTTCATGTCCACAAGCTAACCTGCATTTGTGTGTTTTGGTTAAAACTTCACGAGAGTCTGTTCCACTTGCACCTCTCAGTTGCATGTATAGTTTACTGACGCCTCCATCTTGTGCTAACGTTATATCAAGTCCTGGATTACTAAGCCTGCCTTGAACCACCACCCTTTCCACAATTCAATAACCTAAATTTGCTGTCGTTTTACAAAGAAGACAATGCATTGTCTCTGTGGCTGTCCTATTGCACCCTGCTTCAGCCATAAGCTACTGCTTTTCAACAAGTTAGAATTCGTCATTCTGGTGTCACCTACAAAATACCATGTCATCAATCGTGTTGCGATAACTGTTCATTAAAACTTCAATACACACAAGACAAACCATGCTACAGAAAAAAAGCATGCTTTTTAACATACTAGCGCCTGAGAATAACAAGAAGAAAGAACCCTTGTATCGTATACAACTGCCCCCCAATTGTTTACCATAATGATCAGAATGGTGTCGTGTAGCCCTGAGTATATTATCCCTTTGCTATGACCTTTTTGATGTCTTCCTAGCCATCCCTATTCCCCTTAATTATAGAGAAATTATTTGTCCACCTTGTATCGTATTTACATCCACTGCCATTTACAATGGTGGAATTTTGGGAGTGCTGCCTTACACCTAATTCTCAAATTTTCACTGGCCTTAGCTACAAATTAATGCATGTCGGTCAATAAACCTTATTTAACGCTTTAAGCTCTAAGGTACAATCTACACATATTTGGAAGTCCAGAAAGTATCCATATCTTGGTTGCCTGTGTGTGTGGCTGGTGTTTGTTCCGTTGCTTGCCACTGTAGAGTGGTGGAGAAAAGGAACAGATGAAGTTCGTCATTGCTGTGCGCCTCAATGGATCTATCATATGTACTGATCAGTAAATATTATGTACTTGAAAAGTTGCCCAGCCTCACATGGAGTGAATGAACTTGCCTCCTGCAATCGGTTAATTATTGCAGCTCATGAATTCATCCACATTAAACATTCTAGTGGTATATAATGAGCAGTTGGACTCTAGGTTCCAGACTACCTCACTAGTGGTGTCCTACTTCATACTCTCTCACTGTACAGGATGGTTTCAGTCCACTCTTTATTGCCAGTCAGGAAGGACACTCTGATGTAGTGGACATTCTGCTAGAGGCTGGTGCTGATGTCCACCAGGCCACCACCAAGGTATGATCACTGGAGGCTAATCAGCACATCCATTATAGCATTTTAGATATTGTAGTGTGGCTTCTGCACGTTCAACAGCTTCCTCAGGTATAGCAATACCGACATCAGATCGAGCACACATATGACTTTAGCGAGGTGCTTTTATAGTGTGTTAGTGTAAGGGGCGAGTTATATGGGGGAACAGGATAACATATTTTCTACATGTGTATGCACTGGCAGGATTGGGTGCTTGCTGGCTTCATTGCCGCGGCCCAATCCACTATGCCAGTATTTTGATTTCGGGTTTTGGCTCGGTGCTGCCTTGACCAGCAGGAAGTGGGGAGGGGCCTAGGCTCCAACCACAAATGTCTGGGCAGGGTCAGCACATACCAGTGGCAAAGCCTTGTGGGGATGAATCTCATTAGTTCAGAACCACAAGTGATGCCAGAGAGTGGTATGCTCTGCTGATGATGGCCCAAACAGCTGTCCCAGAGCTCCACATGTTTTTCTCTTGGCATCACATGTATTTTCTACATGTGGGTATGTAAGTCAGGGGCAGGTGAGGAATGTTCAGGTTGCACAAGACACCTGAGTCGAGTCATGTAGCTTCTGTTGTATGTCTGGTTACATAGGGCAAAAAATGTCTTTGTTTACGAAAATATTGAACTAGGATTGAATTTGTCGATGGTCACCCTACAACATACCCATGCACAATAAATGCAGTGTTGCTATAGCTATTTGTTAAATATAGTGGAAAGTCTTCAAAGGGATAGGCATGGCTCGAAGCACCAAAAAGGAAGAAGCAATTGGTCATTACACAGCAATGATGCACAAGGCTACATGACACCATCCCAAAGGTGTAGGAATGGTGTCATCAGCTTTGTGTATATAAATTATAAAGAGACCTTGTTTCTTTTTGGTGCTTCCAGCCATCCCTATATCCCCTTCTACACTAAAGTGGGAACCCTCGGCGAAATGTGCATGCGCGGTACCGCTAATTGATGGGCTGGGCTGTTTACTCCTGATCTCCTGCTGAGCTCGTAGAGAGTCTGGCACTGGCTAGCTACAGTAGAAGATAGCATGCTGGAGTCGATACACACCCTTCGTTGTGACTTCTTGTGCCTCCAAGGTACACACAGCAAGCGGACCCAGTCGAGGTAAGCCTGTGCATATAATTAGCATATTGGCTTGTTTTCACGCCATAAATTTAGAACACAGTAGTTTTATGAAAATCGCCTTTTTCAAAATGAAGCCAGTGTACCCGTTACTATCGCTCATTGACCGGTTGCTTTCTTTTTTCTCTATATGAATAATGATGGCATGTAATCCCAGTTAGCATGAGTGATAGTGAGAAAAGTCAAATGTCGTAATACAATAACTGATCTTTGAAAGATGAGACAGTACAGGGAGACTTTACTACTGCTGGTAAGTTATTCCATGCTGAAATTACACTTGGAACGTAAGATGTCTGATAATAGTCTGTCCGGGAGCGAGGTCTGCAGAAGTCGAATTGGGAAGTATGTCTTATGTAGGCTGCTGAGAAATGAAAATGCCTTGTGGGAAATACAAGTGTCCATTGATGATGTGTGAGATATCTGCGTCTGGCATGTAGATGTGGCAGGTTAACATATCATCGTAGCTCATGTCCCACATCCTTAGACAACTTTGCAGGCAAAATTTTGAACAGACTCGAGAGCTTCAATATCTTTCTTGTTGCATGGATCCCATAGCTGAGCAGCATTCTCTAAATGTGGTCGAATGCATGTCATGTGCACAGTACGAAGGGTGAGGGTGTTGGCCCAGGTATAGAATTGTCTGTACAGCATACCAATTAGTTTCCACACTTTTAGACATGGGTGTTGGATATGTTCAGACCATGAGATGCATTGGTTCACTCTGACTCCAAGGTTGAAGTAGCTCTGAACTCGTTCAATCTGGCAACTACTGATGGATATTTCTTGAGGAGGGAGAAGAGGCTGTCTTTTTCTTGACCCCAGAATATACTTACACTTTGATGCATTTAGAGTTCCTCGATGTGGTTAGTGATGGTTGTGATGTCCTGTTGCAATGATATGTAATCATTTGCATCCTTGATTGGCTTGATGCGAAGGAGATCATCTGCACACAATGTCATTTGTGCACCATTGGACAGAGGAAGCTGGCTGATGGAACTGATGTATGATAAAACAGCAGAGTTCCAAGTACTGACCCTCATGGGACACCAGACACAACTGAGGTGTCAGTTGATGATTCTCCTTGAACAACAACATACTGTTTTCTGTTTAGGAGGTAGAATGCAATCCACTGTACAATGTAAGGATTCAGACCAGTGTCTTTTAGGCATGGTGAAGTAGTCGTACGTCAAAAGCCTTGGATAGGTCTAGGAATAAGAGAATTACGTGAAAACCCTGTTCCATATACTGATACTGATTCCATTAACGTCTAGACTCCATGCTTTCTCAATGTCTGATTCTCTGTAAATATCACTCCAGTCTGTGGAGCGTATAATAGCATTGGCTTTGGTAAAGTCTGCCTGGGAGTGTCTCCAGATTGTTTGTGCACCATTATTAGTAGTCTTTTGGATGGAAGGAAGCATCTTCAAAGCAAGGCGAATCCCATCATGGTCCGAGTTGCTGAGAGGAGGGATTACTGAGCATTCCTTTGGCTTGGATGAGGATGATATCAAGGCAAGGTCAATTTTTCCGTTGTGAGAGACGTGAGTAGGGGACGAGACCACTTGAGTTAGATCGAAGCTGTTCTTAATGTATAAAGTTTAGAAAACAGTGGGTGTTGTTGGTTGAGGAAATCGATATTAAAATCTCCCAAAAGTAGGGAAAAAAACTCTGACATCGAGGCTCTGAAGAATAAAATATAGATTTTCAATTGCTTCTCTATCATGGGGTGGTCGATACCACACTCCCACATGAAGTTTTTGTGTTGGCTTACTTGCATCGTATACAGAGACCAAGAGTAACTCTAATCCATTGTTCCCAGACAGTAGCACTTGTGACTCTAGTGTGTCAGATATAAACATGGCTACTCCTCCACCACAACGATGTCTGTCATGTTGTATACAATGGTACCCTTGTATAGAACACTCCAACAACGCAATTTCATCACAGAGCCATGTTTCTGAGATGCATACAATATCAGGCTTCTCAAGGGCACAGTGCTAGTTCATCCATCTTTGGGAGAAGACTTCTTGCATTGTAGTGTATTGTGCACAAATCTGTTTTTCTGTTCACGTGATGGTTTAACGTCGCTGCTCCTGCCATGGCGTCGATCTCAAGAAGGTGACTGACCACTATCTCAAGTAGGTTACTGACCGCCGTGTATGTTATAGACTCGTAATAAAACTATGCTCTTCAAGTCCATCGTAGTAAAACTACGATCTCGTTTACGCACACGTGTCATTGTATTTAGTAGTTGTATAATTATAGCTACGGCGTAGCTAAACTTGGGCTTCGCATGTAGATCAGTAATTAGGTACACTACAGTACATTTTTGTAGTGTAGTGTGTAGAAACCACTTTGTATTTTTGGTGCATTTTTCTGACTGGTACCATAGTCAAAAGAACTTTATAGCTAAGGCAGACATCAATATTTTACTTCCATTTAAATGGAAGTCCAGACACAGAAGGGATTAAAGATAAACCACTGCATGTGGCTGGTGTTTGTTGCCAGTTACTGCACACTGTAGAGTGGGGGAGAAAAGGAACAGGTGAAGTCCAGCATTACTGTGCCTCAAGCAGTTCAATGGATAGCTACATATGTAGCTGATAAATATTATCGTAATGGAAGTTGCCCCGCCTCAAGTGGAGTGAATGCCCTTGCCTCCTTGCAATCTGGGTTAATTATTACACTCATGTGATTAATTCCCCATCCACATTGAAACTATCTTTTGGTATTGTAATGAGCAGTTGGACTCCAGGTTCCAGACTACCTCACTAGTGGTGTCCTACTTCATACTCTGTCACTGTACAGATTGGTGCCAGTCCACTCTATGTTGCCAGTCAGTGTGGACACTCTGATGTAGTGGACATTCTGCTAGAGGCTGGTGCTGATGTCCACCAGGCCACCACCGAGGTATGATCACTGGAGGCTAATCAGCACATCCATTATAGTTTTTAGATATTATAAAGGGCAAAGATGTCTATTTTACGACTAAAATTAAAATTGGGATATAATATTGAATTCTCGTGCACGTCTTTGCCTGTGTTTGGAATCACGTATGAAATCATTGTGGTAAGTGCAGTGTGGCGGTGCGGTCACAAGCAATATAATATACAGAAAATTGCTAATGTTGTTGAGAGGTTATGTTTAGTTGGTTAGCTACCTAAAATCAAATGTGTGTATCCAAAAGCCATTTGACAGTAGTACCCATTTTCCAATTTGAAGGTCAAATTCACATGTCAAAAGCAAATTTACATAATATTATATCTACAGCCTACTGGTGACAGACCTTTATACATTATTATAGCTTTTGACGTTTAAATGTGAGTTAGACCTTCAATAGCTTAGGTCTCAAGCATCCCGAATCAGTCAGGACTGTCCCGCTAATCATCTCTTCATCTCGCTGTCCTGCTTACCAATGCATTCATCCTGCTCTCGGGTCAATTGGGGTTGAGATGTATGTGTAACAGTTGTATTTCCCTCGTACTGTCAGTGATGGGTGACCTTCTCTCTCATCAGGTTGGTTCTGTTCCTCTGGGGATAGCTGCCGAGAAAGGACATACTGAGACAGTTCAGAGACTGTTGGAGGCAGGAGCCAACGTCAACCACCAGGACAAGGTGTGTGTTTTGGTTGTCTACACTTACAGTATATACATACACACCTATCTTTCTTCTCTCTCCTTCGTGTCTTTCCACTCTCTCTTGGTAATGATGACAGCTCAGGTGTAGTTACACAGTAAAAATATAACAATGTGAGGAAGATTTGTTAGCGCTTTGGTAGGTAGTAATCAAGTGAAATATATCCGAATCTTTCTCTTGTTTCTGAATAGCGAGTTATGTCCGTGTATTACCCCGTGTCCGAAGTTACCCCTATTTACCTTACTTGTTGATTATCACCTTGAAGTATTTGCATTGAGTATTTGCGACTCATAGACTTCTTCTACTCCACAGAGTGGAGGCACAGCCTTGCTCTATGCAGGATGGGAAGGTCACTCAGAGGTGGTGAAACTACTGCTAGGAGCTGGGGCCAGAGACATTCCTGATAAGGTAGACCAACTCTAAATTATGTAGAGAAAAAGTGTCCTACTGTCTATCCTGATGGAATTCTCTCTCTGCCTGTCTCTATAGTATAGTTGGCTATCTTCTCTCTCTCTCTTCATTGCCTGATGAATGTCTCTCTCTACAGGATGGAGACACTGCTCTGAGTATGGCCAGAGCCAACAGCCACAATGATGTGGTACAGCATCTACTGCAACACCAGCCAAAGTGAAAAGACTAGACTATAGCCACAGTTACAACCACTTAATAATATGTACACAACACCTTTTTACGTGACTTTCTGGACACACATAATATTACTGTACTTTACAGATCTTGTTTTTGTGATGAGAGCACAGAACATTGTGCATTATTATATACTTCCTAAATCTGCATCAAACAGCGACAAAACCTGCTCTGCCAATATTATCAACACACCTGGACTACTTAATCAGAACAGCATCGCATAGAGAGTGTTTTTGAGACTAGAGCAGTCGACAGTAGAACTGTAAGATATGGAACCTTTATTATACATTGGAAGGGAAACACCTTAGATCTGGTGTTAGGTTAAGACAAAATTTAGTGATGAAGATACACTTCACACACTGCAATATTCATGGTACAAAAAATTATCAATTTAGATGGTGACTGGTGAATCATTGTACAACTTGTCAAAATACACCATGCTTATTGTTACATACAGTGACAAACATAATGTATGTCATTGTAGCTAACTAGTAACTAGGATGGAGTGTTGTGTGGTAGTTGAGTAACTCCAGTTGTCACTGTCTGGAGAGGAGCTCTCGTCTCCACTCACTCCACGACCCCCTACAACAACAACAACAACGCTCTTTTTGGTGATGGTATAATTATACCAGCATTTCGTAAGGTCACATGGCTCTGGAGAAGTGCTTTGGGTTTTTACATAGCCTACATCAGCAAAGCTGATTATACTGCACTCCCCCATCAATGATTATACTTGTTGCAACTTCAAACCATGCAACATGTTCCATCAATAGGTATGCCTTCTACTTTGTGTACCATGATACAGTTGCCTTGTCTCGAGTAACAGAAACTGCATGTGTGGCCTTTATATGACAAAAGAAGGTCTCCTTTTTTGTGTTGATTTACTTACAGAGAGACGATGGTAGTGTTTATCTTACATCATGGGTTTCCAGTTTCCAGTTGGCAGAGTCCACCGTCTCCTCCGCTAGGGCAACTACGCCGAGCGAGTGGGAGCAGGAGCGCCCGTCTACCTGGCAGCCGTCATGGAGTACCTGGCCGCTGAGATCCTCGAGCTGGCCGGCAACGCCGCCCGCGACAACAAAAACAGACGATCCACCTGCGCCACCTACAGCTCGCCATCCGCAACGACGAGGAGCTGAACAAACTTCTGCAGGGAGTGACCATCGCCCAGGGAGGTGTCCTGCCCAACATACAGGCGTCCTTCTCCCCAGAAGAGCGGAGGATGAGCAAACAGGCATCTTCCAGAGCCAAGAAGTACTAGTCATAGATCACCCCAGAACAGTCTGACAGTCATTATCATCATCCCTCCACTGCCTCCTGTCTACCCCACATTCCGTTCACCACTACCACATGTGGCAACCACTGGCCGGGTCAAGTCCACTCCTGACCTCTGGAACTCTAGAGAGGACAGACAGAGAGGGAAGAGGGGGCTATTATTTTGCCAACACCTGTAATCGTGGAAGCCACACCAGGCATTCGCTTTTTATGTCTGTCTGTACAGGGCACTTACCATTTACCTAAGAAAATAGCTATCCTAGACTTGCATACATCTACAACCAAAGTTCCTAATATTTTACTGGTCCATGTAGCTACTCGAGGCACGGGTGCCTTCTCAGAGGTTCTTTACCAATGCTATAATGCTTTGCTGTGCTTCTCTCCGCTTTTCAACTGTCGTAGCGATGACTATATTATGCTGACTAAAATCGTTTCAAATCATCCTGGTCTTGACAGTACACCACTGAGCCTTCCAGTAAGTCTGCGTATTGAGGTTGACTGCTCCCTTCATCCTCCACTGGGCAGAGAGGGGCGTGGCTCCCTGGACATCACCTTTGAAACCTGCACTGCTCTGCTTCTACGTGCATGCTACAACTGAGACCAAAGTGTACCACAGAGTGTACTATACTGAAAGAGTCTTGGATCAACTTACCACATCACACTGGCTATAGCCCAAAAGAACTATTTCCCATAGACGATCATAACACCACATACATTTGGCCAAAATTTCAGTGAATGTTCTTTTATTTGATTCCAGTGAAATGTGTCATCATTCATAGGCATCCTTTATGTAGTAGGGGTATCTGTCTAATGCTAATTTATCTGTATTGGCCATAACCCAAGGGTCCTTAGTAAGAGGTTCCTCTTTTGTGGTTTACCGTTTAATTATTCAGAGGGCAGGGGAATGAATTTGCTGTGATTATCGTAGTCCTACAGAGTGCCTGTTCATGACTGAGATGTGTGGTTATCCAACATCTGCTCATAAGTCCTGAGCAAGTGATGGTTGGAAAGATGCAGTGAAATAAGTGGCCTCTGTGGGTTGGGTTCCTTGAGACTTGGGGACCAGTGAAATTTCCACCTCCTCAGACCCCCATCCAGCACCGCACTCCTCTTGACCACAACTGTGTACAAAAAATATGACAGCTACTTAATCAAATTGGGCTTTCTTTAAAAGAAATATAGCAGAGATCGTGAAGACAGCTGAGAGTAAGTAGCTTCATGTGCACACCATAACACTACTTTGCAATCTTTTGCTGCTTTAATTCCTACCACTTTTCTAGTCTTCGCCTACCTTAGCTCTTGTTTCTAAATCTACACCACACACACATGTCAGTTGCATGCAACCGTTTCTGCATGATGGGTCGCGCGCAATAGACAACCTACACTTCAAATTTCAAGCACATGTTGCAAAGGACATTACTAGAAGCGGAACTACTCTGACATCCCCAAGACTCTAGCAGAGGCCATCAGTCCCTCACTGTTTCCATCTACACCACCACATGATCTTCATTACCAACTCCCATCTGGACACTTGTATATAGAGCAATTTCTGTGTCCACCATGACGGCACTGCATTAGATGATGCTCTCAACGAGCTATCTAGTATGCATCAACCAGCAGCATTGCATCATAAAATAAAAGGCAAAGCTCTATACTCTGTTTGTCTAGTACGAGAAATCCATCTGTCCATCACACAATGCAATGGAGAGCATAGATGTGCCCCTGACCTTGCCACGAGGGTCTGGATCGGTGATGTAAGGGATCATGTGAGGGTAGGAGAACTCTGCTCCTGACAACCAATCGTCAATAGCTCAATGTAGCTGGGCCCAGCCAAAATCCTCACCCGTAAGAAGCCAGCCCTCAAAAAAATCCCTCTCCGACATGGTCCCACGAGGCTGAAGAACACAGTTATTGTAAGACAGCTTAGCGTACATCATAGAGTGTGTATAGCCTCTCACTTGAGCTTACCAATGTAGCTTATAGCTACAAGCACGACGCGGTTGGCTAGGTCCTGAACCCAAACGAAATGCCAGTCCAAGTACGTAGGAGCTAACTACCATCACAGAACCATTCCTACGAACTGGGCCTGCTGCTGAATCTAGAATCACAGAAGTAAGAAGATCCATCTACAACAGCCAGTTTCCAGAGCGTGAAACACCGTCATTTTTTTGAGTGTTGCTTTAAAAAAAAATGTCATTTAAGGCTTACTTTAATTTTCATGCATAGTTAGTAGAACATTAGTCTGCTTTGTTGCCGTGACATAAAAACTGCCTTCATACCATGCACTCTGCAGTCTAGGCGCCATCACTCTAGCTCTAAGTTTGACTATCTTGTGTCCTCTTGAATTCAGACCCCTAAATATACAAGCCGTCTTACACATTTGCCATTTCATCAAACCTTTCTCATCCTTCCCTCACTTTATCATATCCTCAGGCACTTCCCAGGCCAAAGGTCATGACAGTGCGTTCTCCTAAGAACAGTCACTTCTTATGGTCCCTTTGTTCCTGGTCTTGCATTAACTTCTATAACTAGTGTAATGTGTTTGTTGATCATCTCAGCATCCTATGTATGAGAAAAGGCAACATTGATGGTCTCGTGCAACGTAAAATGTATGGAGTATGATTTGTCATCGCACCATTAGCACGCACACACTCCTCTTTGTCGTAGCACACATAGTTTTTACATGCTATCACTGTAGCACATTACTTTGTAGGATTATCTCTCTACTTGGTTATTGCTACTCTATGGACTAGAAATTCGGTGGTGGTGTGCCGGGTACAGTATCCTAGTGATAGTGTGAGACTTAGTCCACAGGAGACGCGACAAAACCTCACCACTAACAACAAACAAGAGATACTCTTGCAACATGCTAATGAGAGGTGTGTGTACTACTGAGTCACCATATGACGTGTTGCAATGTGACGTGTGCATAGCACACATGCATGCTGTGAGTCATTAGATTAATGTTCTTCTCGAATTCGTGTGACTTCTTGTCTTGTTTGCATACCCACACACATTTGAGAAGTTGGACTGGTCTGATATTTGACACTGTAGCATCGTGTATATGTGTGTTCACGTGACTTAAGCCTCAAGAGTAAGGGAGATGAATAAAACAACACCACATTCTCGCCCACATTAGACATGAACACCAATAAAGTGAATGATACCTCAGTTGGTAGAGCACGTCACCTATGATGTTTGGGTTCAATCATGGCGCTCTCTTCCCTTTTCCATCGACTTGGAAAACAAAGAGTTGTCCTGTCGGTGTAGTTGACTTGTTATGCTTTGCCCTTCTAGCTTTCTACACGTCTCACACCTTTTTGTGACACAATGGAAGATAACACACCCACACACTCAAAAAATCATCTACAAACTAATAAACTTATAGATGTGCGTAGTTTACTTTACGTGAACTCTGTCAAAAAGAAAAGAAAAGCGATTGAAAGCAACACTATATTGGGGGCTTACACTGAACACTATGTTACAGCATGATCCATGCTGAAATAACACTCAGCATTCAGACCACTACATACGTAGGCTCAGCCTCACATCTCCAGTTATA